AAGGAAGGAAGGAAGGAAGGAAGGAAGGAAGGAAGGAAGGAAGGAAGGAAGGAAGGAAGGAAGGAAGGAAGGAAGGAAGGAAGGAAGGAAGGAAGATCATAGAATGCTTAAGGTTGGAAGGGACCTCAGAGGACATCTAGTCCAATCCCCCTGATCTCTACATGATCTACGGTTTAGGTGGAATAAATCTCTCTGTAGAAAGACTGGTCCTTCAGGTTTTTTGAGGGAGCTCAAAGGACTAATTTCTCRGGAGTATTAGGTTTTGGAGAAAAGAATCAGTATTTGGTGGTTCTAGGTTACTTTAGAAAAAAATATAGAGTAGAAGAGCAAAACACTTTATTTTCCCCCTTTTATTTTAACTAGCTAAATATAACTATTCAGGGCATCATTCCAAAAGATTTGCTCACAGTGAGCAGTACCTTTTCACATACACAAATATTCCATTGCATTAAACAAGCACAGTCACTGAAATTACCCCCAGTGCTGCAGGAGTATGGCAGACAATTTGAATCATCAAATAAGACTTTGAGGAGTAAGACTTTTACAATATTTTACRTATGGAATCTTTTTTTCAAGTATTTTGAACCTTTGTAAATTATGCAGAAAATACTTACACAATCTACATATTCAACATTAACATTGTCAGATCTCTACTCCATTTTTATGAAAAAAAAAAGTGTGAGGGCTTAGAAAGGATAAACAGATTCCTTTCAACTAATGAAGTAGTAGAACATGTCTTAAATAGTGCAAAGTGTGCAACAAAATTATGACAATCATAGATATAAATCTGACACACAAAGCAGTACCCTGCTGAAATGTCACAAGGAACAGCCTTGTCTAGTATCTTTCTTAAGTTTTTCAAGGAAAAATATAGTAACAGAACAGAAAAATATAGTCCTTTACTACTTGATTTGAGATGTGGTTTCCCCTTAAATACCGGAAATAATACTTCAAATAAAATGCCAATACAAATGTCTTGAAAGTTCATCAACTGTAGCTTGTCCTCTAGAGACTTTAGTGGTAGCTTTGTATGAATGAATAAAGCCTAGAAGCCCTCTAACCTTTTTGGTTAGTTCTTCAGTTCTTGTCCATTGCTTCTTGATGAAGAACACCATTTAGATATGTGCAGATGCATGACTCAGATTCCATTTACTGTTACTTCATAGAACTCCTTCAGTTTCCACAATTTTTGTCTTGCTTGATGGGTCATTTCTATATGAGTAGAATTATTATACCTTGATTTAGCTTCARTTTTCTGTTTCTGCTTTGTCTTGGTTTTGAGGCCATGACTTCCAATATAGAATTGGCACCCAGATGTTTTCTGTAAAGTCTTCTGCATTTTGAACATGACTGCTTTCTGACCAGTCCTTAACAACTCACACATTTTCTGGGAGCTAGCATTTTGTTCTGRTTTTATCCATTGATATTAACAGCTCTATTTTCTACCTATTAACGTTGGCTTTAGCAAGACAGTATTGTGTAATCACTTTTTTTTAGCCTCTGATGGATTCCTTTATCTTGTCTTTGAAATAGCCTTACTAATTYRGCACCGATAATTAAATTTGTCACCRGTTAACTTCCTTCTTCTTTTAAATAAATATATTAACAAAAATCTTGTCACTCATATTGCAGCTTAGCATATTTCCTCAATCGCTATATTCYATGCTTTGCAGTTAAAATTATCTCAACATTTTGCTTCCTGTCATTTAATCATTTTTTGATTTATAGTAGATTTTTTTCTTATGCAGCAATCTGACAACAACTTTCTTTAAGGTTAATCTGAGATGCTCTAGTGAAAACCTTATTAAAATCCAARTAAAGGATATCAATCCTTTCCTTCATTACCATCTGCTTAATTATCCCTAGGTAGTTAAAAGATAGGACTCTCACTGAGTAATTTTGCATTTAAATATGGTATGTCCGTAAAGACTTGTAACACACAGATTATGTCAATGGCTACATTGTCTCAGTGATGACAAATGATAATATACAGCAAACTTTCTTCTAGAACAATTTGTGTTCTTTTCCTCATTTTCGATGAGGGAATATATTGAAAGGAGCCAAATATTTCAACCCAGCTCAGCGTAATAGCAACATATTCTAAAATAAATCTTGTTTTCTACTACAGAAATATAGCTATCTGCATCTCTTTTTTGAAAAGCAGTAGTGGTTAGGATGATACTCTTTTTTTTATCACTGAAAACATCACCATCATTATGACAGAGATTTATTTATTCATTTCCCTACATCATGGTTTCAGATCTGTGCCCGTCACGGTTGTTGGGAGGAATTTCAGGTAGATTCATCTCTTCTGGAACCTGCCATGAAAACCAAAGAAGAATTCAGTGAATGACATAAAGAACTCATTTTGTCCTAAGAGGTTATTAACATGCACTGATAAGGTCATTCTCTTTATATATATTATTTATTATCAATAACCCAGACTTACATCAGCCAGCAATCCTGAACTCTAAGGGTTAAATTCAGTGTCCTTAATAAAGGAATACCTTAACACTCACTCCAGTGTGCAAAAGTTCTAGGCTGGGCTTTTGATGAGCTCTGAGGAAACAAGCTATCCATCTCTAAAGAAACTCTGATCATTATTCCTGGACTTTAGGAGAGCTAACTCTGACCTCTTCAGGGAGCTCCTTGGAGGAATCCCCTGGGTCAGGGTCCTAGAAGGAAAGAGAGTCCAGGAGAGTTAACTAACATTCAACAACAATAATCTAACATCAAAGGGATGTGGAGCTTCTAGAGAGGGTCCAGCAGACACCAGAGACAGAGGGTACAGTGACAAAGATGATTAAGGGACTGGAGCATCTGTCTTATGAGGAAAGACAAAGCGAGCTAGACCTGTTTAGCCTAAAG